CTGTTCCTAAATCTTTATGGAGTCCCAATTTTTGTCCTAAACAATGCCAGATTAAGAATATAATAAATATTGAGTAATTTGGTATGTTTAGAATTGCTATGGAAAGACCTAAATTATACCAATGATTCAGGTATGCATATTCTTTGTGACTGCAGTAATTTGTATTTTATACCATATCTAAAAAGGCAGCTTCAAATTACAAGTCCACTGGTTTAACATAAAAACTTAAAGAATTTATTCCAATTCAAGAATTTTGCTATACATACCCGTTCATACTTTGAATTATGAAGATTTCTTATTAAAAATCTGCTCTTCCCATTAATAAGAAATTACTTAGGGAACATTATGATTCAGGCTACATTTAACCAAAGAGATCTGTTTTGTACAGCCTCTCTTCCTCATACAAGTATTGAAAGAGTAATGCAATTAAAAAATAAACAGTATCTGTTTAGAAAGGGAAATGCATACCCATTTAAAATGATTAAAAGTATTAGACCACTGTTCCTCACTAGTAACAAGTCTTCCCAGTCCTTATGAGACCACATTTCTTGTCATTTCGCTATATTTTCTCTGTCTTAGTTATCTGCTATCCCTCTTTAACCTCACATCCCCCAAATTTTGCCATTTTAGGAAAGAAAAGTCAAGATCCTTTTACACTCCGCTATCGAGCACTCCTCAGGAAAGAGATTCATTCTCGTTTCTTTACCATCTGATTGGTGGGGCTGCTCTTTGTTATTGGAGAACACTAGAGAGCATGACTACTTCTAATCTCTTTTGGTGCAGAGAAAGACTAAACTCCATTCCAAATTAGCAAGTACCAGAGCCATAAATCCAGTGTCATGTTTTATTATTTCCAAATTAGTGCTATCAAATAGACTGCTATTACAATTATTCTCAGGAATTAGAAAACATATATACCTCACGACCAGTACTATAAAAAATGACTTCTCATAAAGGCGATTTAGTTCAAGATACCTTCCTTCCTCTACAAGGAAAAAACATGGGTAACTAAAATAGTTACTTGGAATGTCTTATGCTCACACATACAAACCCATAAGTTTTCTAAAGTCAACCAGTTTCAGCCTATATGATTTAGTTCACACAAAATTTTAAACAGTATGTTGCTGTTAAAAAAAAAAAAGGCCATAGTCCTATACATACAACATGATTTTGGGAATTGCAGGCACTTTTGGATCATTAGCCTTTCTGGAAATCTATAATTTCCTTTACTTAGAACTACGTTGATAACTAAAGTCACCAACTTCATACTTTAGTCATCAACATAGCTCTCTGATGAATGCACCAACATCAATTTTTATAGTAAATAATGTCACTCATACACAGGATTTTACACTTTGATTACAAAATCCTTGATACTTAGGCATAAGATGGTATCTTGTGTGTGATTTAAATATCAACTGTAAAGCTGAAAGGGCAAAATTATCTCCACAATTCAATATAAAGAAACATAAGTTCCTAAGAAACACAGATTTAAGGAGCGTTCATTTTTAAGGACTAAATTAAAAATGTAAGGCTTTCAGAGATCTAAAAAGTATCTATGGATTTTACAGTAAACGTAAGAGTTACAGTTCTGCCTCCTGATACACATTTACATAATCCTCTCACTTAACCAGTCAAGTAAAAAAAAACCCCTAACTCCATTAAAAAATATATATATATTTAGATATGTATGTGTATCTCATATATATGTAACTCTACAAACAAAATTTGTGTTTATAGCATATACCAGAACACACCACTAACCGTTCATAATTTATAATACTTTATCAGTAATCATTAGCAAACTACACAAATAAAACCATTAACAAGATAGAGATATTTGCCAATAAGAGATCCTTACAATCAGGTTTTCAACAGTCTTTTGGTTGTGGTTGAAAGTTCACAATTGCAGCCATTCATGAGTTTCTGGAATGTGACCTACAGAGTTTGCATTAGTCAGCTATCTATGGAAAATGATCTGTACTGCATTAACTTTCAAAAAAGGGCCATTAATATTTTGCACTTCCCCCATTTACCAAAAAAGAGTCTGTTAGGTGTATAGGTAGTTTAAACAAATTTTGTAACGTTCACTGTAAAAGTGGCTACACAACTATATTTTCAATCATCATTATAACCCCAGTTACACAAAATCAATTTGATGAATCTCAAGTGATCATTAGTCTTTCTAAAGAGAAAAGTTAAAATGATATATTAACTTTATGGTAATTAATAATATATGATCAATGGGCAAAGTCAACTAAGAACTTTAAGACATTTGCTTACTTTGTATATACAACTATCAGCCCTTTTAAAGGTATAATACTAAGATGTATTAATACAAGGTCTTTTTTGATTCTTTAAAATTCAAAATGAGCCAATACAGAACCTTGTATTAGGTAATGGAACCAAAATCACAAGACAGTTTTCAATATATCGACCTAAATCACCTCAATCATTTTTTGTTCATCTTCCATTTCCCTTTTCTCAACATTTTTTTAAAAAAGTAAACATCCTATTAACAATTATTTTCTTAAGATCTGAAATCTGTCAACCTATTCATAGAGTTTAAGTCATAATTACTCAAGACCTCTCACTCCAATGTTTTATTTTACATCTGAATGACTGCAAATAAAACTGTATGCAGAATTTAATAATGCAACCCAAAATCACTATGGTAAAGTTACAATTTTGTTAGTACCACCTCCTCAGAAGTACTCAACTCAATATTTTAAACATACGCCTGGAAAAATTTAATTTTAAGCATATAACTTTAAAACGCCCCTTTACAAAGGCTTTTCCATTAAAAAACAAAACGAAACAAAACTGTTTCTACTCAATGGATTTATTCCTTCACCAGGTGTGTTGGTCCAATGACAAAATAGTCAAATGTGTAAGATTACATCTTGGAAACTAGCATGTTAAATTAAAAAGCAATGAAAGACTTAAAAAAAATTAGAAATGTACATTTGGTAAGCAATGCAGATTTTAAAAGACTGGGTGGAGGAGGGAAGTGCAGCATTTAAAATAGGACTACACACCCATCAAAACCCATGCACTGGATTAACTGTTGCGACTGATAAGGACACTGATACAGTAGTATCTGTAGTTCAAACTTTCACATGTTTAGAGATTCTTGAAATTATTAACTCCTTTAATAAAGATAGGGGATATAAATGCATCACTGAGGTCATACCCTAAAGAATATATCCCAGAGTTTCCATTTGTCAACAGATCTATGTGCTTCACACCATATCATATTAAAGTTATGAGGAATTTAACTGCATATACTGTAAACTGAGAGAGGTGTGGAGAGAAAATATTCTTCATTCATAGGTGTGCATGTGTTCTGGGAGTGGGGGTAGGTTGGAAAACCAGTCATTACTTCTTGAAGAAATATGGACGCAGTACACAAAAGGAACAGAGAGGTAAGTAAGCAAATGGTTATTAACGAACCCATCAGAAAAAAAAGGCTTCTGGCAGGTAGAAAAGGGAAGATGGCCTGTTGACTATTACAGAGGTGAACGATTAAACTCAATCCACATTCAGGTGTGCCCTTAAGTGTGAAAAGTAAAATATGGGAGCAAATGTAAAGAGGAATTTTTCTGAGTGGCTTGCGGAATCAGTTTCTTTACTTGGTAGTCCCATCCATATAAAATTTCTCAATGACTAGCTAGCTGAGCTCACTTATAGACACGTGGTATTCTCTAAGAGTTCTCTAATGGAAGAAAGACTCCCCACAAGCAAATTACCTATAAAAAAAGATGAACTTTGAATTACAAAAAGCAGAGAAGATGAATTTCAGTGAGCATTTTCAAACCAACAGAAGTATATAACAAAAATACAAGGCTAATTAGAAATGAAAAGTTAAGAATGTGAAGGAAACTCAGAAGAAACATAAGAAAGTGCTTTAACAGATCACTGTATTTTACATAAATTATTCTAGAAACCCATAAAATAGTTGATCTTTTAGCACATCTAAAATTAACCTCTCAAAAACCCCAGCAAATGTCTGTCTATGAAGTACCTGAAACTTTCTCTGAAATTTTAAATATAATTTTAAAGCTTTGTAACAAGTCAGTTTTTTAAAAAATTTGCATTAGATATGTCAAGTTTTAATATTTTCCTCAAAACTATTTAAAATCCTCATCAGACCATAACCAAATATCAACTGTGTAAAACTGATATGGCAATACATCAACTTTCACTTAAACTATTAAAAGCATCCCTTAAATTGAGGGAGCCAATTGTTGACATTTATCCTTTTACTATAAAATTACTCTAATTTCAAGAACTACAGCTTCTACTACTGCCAAAGAGTTTATCTCAGACCTCCCTTTCCTATAATAAAAAGACTAATGGAAGATAAGAGCATCTTCAAATACACTTCTGCTTTAAAAAAAAGTATCTTAGAGTGACTGGGAAGCCTCCTGACTTTCTAGCTTTTTTCATTAAAAGGCTGAATGAAGATATGCTCTTCAAAGCTGGATTTGACATTTCACCACTCTCTCTCCAGCCTTTCCAGATACTTTGGAGGAGGTAGATACTTTACTTGGATCTTTTTCTACTGGAGGGCCTTCTGGGTTTCCAGAATGGGAAACTTCTAATTTTATGTCTGTCTCAAAACTCACAGACAAAAGCCTCTGCCATAAATGATCAAGTGTGATTGACATCTAAGAAAGGGACAATCAATCCTACCGGGTATAACCTACTAAGTTACCAGCTCTAAATTGAGAGGATTAAGCTAAAATCCACTTTTTAAAATAAACAACGTTGCATCCTTATCCACTTCAGTTTTAAGGAACTGTGACAAGATAATTCTACCATTACACACGTCGGCAATCTAATGTCTTCAACAACTGATAAATTAACTTTACTAAACACAAACTAATTTTTATATTTAAAAATGCTGAGGGCCTCAAAATGAAAAACACTTTCCCAAAGTTGCATCCTAAACGTTTGGCCAAGCATCCCAACAAATATTTTAAATAAGATTTCCATACCTGTCTTCATCACCATCGACAGGAATAGCTATGCTGAATACAGAGGTGGCCAGACTGTTCATAGGTGTTAACTGAAGTGGGTTTGCCAGGGCATCTGCAACAGGCGGCTTCAAAACAGGCTTATTTTCAGCAATGAGAGAAAGTGGTGGTTGAGGTAGGGGTTCTGATTTTCTTCTAGTATCGTCAACTTGCCCGATTAAAGGCTGGGTCTGAGTCTGAAACTGGCTTAGGTCAGACTGTGGTAGACTTGTTGGTACACTGGGTGTGCCTTGCGCTAAGGGCAGCCCAACATGCTGGATTACGCTGCTGCTTCTGCTGACTGGTGTATGGCTGCTCAGCTGCTGCGACTGGACCAAAGGCGCGGGTACATTTGGCATAGTAACAGAAGTGGTAGACACACTAGGCACGCTTGGAGCGGGCACGGCGGCAGGCACGTTTGGAACTCCGGGCACCAGGGCGTGAGGGCCACCAGGCCCGGCTGACGGCGTACTGCTGCCACCCATCTGCGATGGAGGCACAGAATGGGGCTTCCCGGCCCCGGTAGGAACCAGGCCCGGCTGCCCCGCGCCTCCTACAGCAGCCGGGGGGACTCCAGCCGGCTGAAAAGGCGCGGCGTGTCCGCCTGGCACGGGTCCCGGCCCCGGGGCCACGGCTTCACTGGGCAGAGGAGAGGCACCCATGAGCTGCGCGCCTCCAGCGGAGGCATTCTGGCCCGTGCTCATCGGAAAGCTGGCCGCCGCGGATGGGCTCGCTCCGGCGCCGGTGGCAGAGGACTGCGCGGGGTTCGGCGGCTGTAGGCCGGCCACGTGCTGCTGCAGGTACTCACTCGGACCAGAGGGCTGGACGGGTAGCAAATGCCCCGGCGGAATCTGAGGCTGGGGATACGCGAACTGCTGGGGCTGTTGCGTCGCAGAAGCGCCGGTGGCCGGGCCCGGCTGCGGTTGCAGGGAAATGCCGGTCTGCGCCAGGGTTACATTCGTCAGTGGCAGACCCTGTGCACTGGGCCCCGGAGGGACGGCGCCCGTCCCGGTTCCCTGGGGCTGGTTTGGCTGCGGGGCTGCCATAATTTGCTGCGGCCCGGCCGCAGCTCCTGGGAACGGCGGCATCGGAGCGGAGCTTGCAACCACAGCCCCACCTACGGGAGGCGGCGGCGGCTGGGGCGGCCCAATGCCAAAACTCCGCGACGGGGCCGAAGCCAGCAGGTTCATTTTCTCCGAAGGGGGTAGCTGTGACACAGCAGTCAAGGAACTGTCTGTTCCCGAGTCAGGCCCGTGAGCCCCCTGCATAGAGGCCACCACGACCACCACCGACCCTCCGGTGGCGCCCAGGCCGCTGTCTCGCTCCGCAGTCTGGTCAAAAGTACTGCTGTGCCTAATGCAATCTCCAGACCTGGTCAAGACGCTGCTGTCAGAATCCCGTTCATAGTATTCCATACACGTCCATCGGCCACGTCTATAGGGCTCTCCGCTCCCGTGGTCCAGCTTGATCACGCGAAAACGGGAACTACAAGTGGTGGGGGGCTGCGATGGCGCTGCAGTCCCTGGCCCGGCAGATGGGCCCGGGGGGGCGCTGGATGCTCCTGAGGAGGTGGCTGAAGTGGCGGCCGCCGTCAGAGTATTGGCCAGCGCCCCAACCACGCTCCGGGCTGAAACCGCTCCTCCTCCGTTGGCGGGAGTAGCCGCCGCGGCTGCCAGCTGCCCGTCCAGGAGGAGGTTTGGGGAGACCGTCCCGGGACTCTGCGTCTCTTACGCTCGCAGACCTCCTCAGGGCCATAATCCGTGGCCCGAGAAACGTCGAATATCTCAGAGGAGACGTCCTCTGTGCGTGACTCGTCCGGGTCGTCCAGGCTCTCGGTGTCCTCAGTGATGCTAGTGGCCACCTGGGCCGTGGTGACACTGGTGATCTGGAAGCAGCTCTTCTTCTTGGCCGGCATCTTGGACATGGTGAGGAAGGCTGAAGGGTGGAGAGGCACGCCGGCTTCTCCGCGATTTTGCCGGAAACCAGGAAGGGCAGAGCACGGGCCCCCAAAGACAAAGTCCGAGTCCGCGCTGGGGTCTGAGGCCCGCCGCTGTGAGAGTCACGGGAGGATCTGAACGCCGGCCGCTCTATGAGACATCCTCCTCCCCGTTTCCTTCTGTGTCGGTCTCTTCAGCTCTGCCCCCTTCTCACTCGCGCGGCGGCTCCTCCTTCTTTTTCGCCTCCGGCAGCGGCGGCGCCTCAATTCAATCCACTCAGTGGCGGCGAGAGCGTGATCCCAGGGGCGGGCCAGCTGCTTCCTCCTCAGGTCTCCAGGCCGCCGTGGTCAGTCCAGCTCGGCGCTCCGCGCGGTCAGCAGGCCTTGGCTGGGGGTGGGAATGCGAGGGCGAAGGGGAGGCGGCGGCGGCGGCGGCGGCGTGAGGGGCGGTGCTGCCCCGTTCGGGCTCCGCAGGCCGGTGCCGGCGTCAGCGCCTGCCAGGGGTCGCGGGCTGGCGGCGGAGCTTCAGCGCGGGCGAGCGGCCCTCCTTCCCCGGCTCTAGCCGGAGCTCAGCCCCAGGGACATGTTGACTGTCTCTGGCGGAAACCCACTCCGGGGGAAAGAGGGAAAAGCCGGCTCAGTCCTCCCCTCACAGGGGAGCCACCCCCGCAGGCGGCGGCAGTCCCGGCCTCCCCTCGCGGCTCTTGAGAGAGTAAGGGGCGGCGGCCGACTGGCTGGCGAGCGGAGGCGCTCTTGCTGTGAGGTAGCAGCGGGAACTTCTTCGGTTCCTCCTCGGTGCGCCGGGTTCGCAGACCCTGAAGAAACTGAAATTCAAACTGCTGAAGCGGCGGCTGCAGCTCCCTCCCTTCGGCCAAGATGGGGCTGAAATGGCCGCGCCAGGGATGCTGGGAGGAGCAGCAGCCCGGCTGCCGCCGCCGCTGTCGACTAAAATGCCGCCGCTGCCGTAGCCACCGCCAGCGCCGTAGCCGCCGCCGTTCCGTGACGCACCGGCGTCATGACGTCACCGCCCCGCCCCCTCCGGTTTCCTGCAGTTTCGCGTGGAGGATTGAGGGGAGGCAGTGGGCGTGGCTAAAGGTTAAAAAAGGGGGAGCGGTTTTTTATTTTAAATTTTTTAAATTTAAATTTTGCACTATAGGGTTTTATGAGTTGAAGAGCTAATAACTCAAATTCCAAGCCCAGGGAAGCTTACAACCTCGCCAATCGAATGTTTTTATATCTGTTTCCAGACAGTGAAGACTGGAGATCATGTGCTGTGTCTAATGTTTAGCAAAATCTTAGTGAAACAAGGGCGATGGCGTGGGGGCTGGGGGAATTTAGCTAGGATAAAGAGGGAGACGGCTGAAGGAACCGAATCCCTTAAAAAAATCTTTCTTGAAGATAAATGTTGACAACTATAGTCAGAGGAGTGAAATGTTGAGAGAAATGGGGATAATTAACCAAGAAAAGCAAGCCAGATTGAGTCAGAAAAATGATCTTTCAGCCAGAAATCGCCTCCAACAATGGCATCAGGAGATGGTTACTTGCCCAGGGTGAGGTCAGTTTAAAAAAAGAGTAGAGGTTACCAACATATTCCTAATTTTCTTGAATTTGCTGTGATTCCAGCATCCAAGAGTTCATTTAAAGTCTTGAGACTGTTGTTACTTTCCCCAGGAAATCAGCTTATGGGCTCCATAAATGTAGAACCTACTGCGTTAAATAGTTACACTTCTTTCTTTTGTTTATTCTGAAACTCTTAGTTGGAGCCAGAATGTTATATGGTTTGGATTGAGCCATGAAAACCAGAACAATGCAGAAAGCACCCTTTCCTGTCCCAGTACAGATAGTAGCTATGAAAGTGCTGACAAATTTATTATCTTTTAGCTACTTACTGGCAAAAGAAAGTGGTAAGGCCATTCTTTTAAACAGTTAAGAAAAATGAGGAAGGAAGCTCTTGAACTTTGACATTTTAATATATAATTTAGGTAAAATTTAAGAAGCCTTGCTGGAAATCAAAATGTCATCTATAGCTTTATCAGTCATATCATGATCACTTACATAAATCAGGTATTTATTATACTCAGTTCTCTAATCTTTGAAGAGTAGAAATACTTTTTTATCCTAAAGGATGTTTTGATAATTAAAATTTACAGAGAACTTTTTAGGTCCTTAGTTGTAAATAATATACAGAAATATGTCTTTTAACCTTAGTAGAAACCATGTCTTCCAAACCCAGGTAACCGAGGCCAGGGTGGGAAATAAGACCATATAATAACATCCTTGTTTCTTAAGGGGGTGGGAGAGAGTAAAGGAACAATGTGTAACATTATGCTGCTATTGTGGCAGAGATAGCTAATGGAAATGTTTCATTTCTAAATCTGTAATTTTAGTTAGAGACAGTTTTCCATCAAATTAGATCAACTGGTTAAATTCAATTTGAACTTTTAAAAGCTTAATTTAATTTAGATTTGATTTACCAGATTGTTAAAAGTGGTGATCAATGGATGATCATGCAGCTTTTGGAAAAATAGTATCATATACTTGCTTGTCTCATTACATTATGTTATTACATAAAGTTCTTGATTACTTGTTATGGTACTCTCAAATCACACATTTTAAGGAAAAATCTTGATCCGTAAGACCATTTCTCCTTAAAGAACTGGAAAGGATTTATTATGAAATGAAAGTGATGATTAAGATAATTTAGAAGAGATCAGTAAGTGGGCTGTATTTCCAGAAAGGATGGGATTAAAGATGTCAAAAGAGATCTTTAAAAAAATAAGATAAAGTTAAGTGTTTTATTTATGTTTAAGGATGTGTGTGTGTTTAAACTAATAAAATAATTCTTTCAAAAGTACGTTTTCCAAAAGTTTTAAAGGCTCTAGCTTCTTTTATACATTTGCCCTTTAAAAATGTAGAGAATTTATTGCATAAAACTCCTACGAAGAAATAAGAATTCTGGTTGTTGCAATTAAGTTTGGAATCATTTTACAGAAGACAAAAAATCGTATAACTATCATCATGCTACAAAAAGCTACATAATTCATGGTTGGTCCACAAAGGATTAAAAGCCTTCACATAACTAATTAAAATGATAAAAAGCAAGATGTGCATGCAGGTATGTATGCTTCATGTGTGGAGAGTTGATAGTAAGTTAACATGGTAGCCTAACTCACTAGAATTGGGGGATATCCCTCGAATCTCAAATCTGAAGACCAGGGGTCTTAATGCAGCTACCCTGGTTCCATGCCTGCACCCAGAAATCCTAGGTGGAAATGTAGGAATCCTTGATTACTGCTCCAGAGTCCCCAGCTTGACTGTCCTACACTCGGTACTTTCTTCAAATACTTTATTTGAAACAATGTATAGGAAGTACATTTAGGAAGAACAATGCAGGGGTGGGGGGAGGCACTGACTGTTTCCATTGATGAAAAATAAAAAAAACTACTGTAAGAAGATCTTTTCATCATTTAAGAGCATCATACCTCCAAATTCTACTAAGTTATTATCTGACCATATCAGTGCCAGATGGTAAACTGTTTCACAGTCACAAGATCCTGGAATGTGAACTACAGATACTCAAAAACTTTTTTTTTTTTCAATGAATGCATATTAAACTTAAAATAGTAATGGCATATTAATCTAAACACGCTGGAATAAAGAAAAGAAAATCATACTTTCAGCAAAAATTAAGCAACTGCTTAGGTTAAGAGAAATAACCCTTTAGAATTAACAATAACAGTCAGACAGTAACATTAATAGAGCACTCTTTATGTGCATTAGGAATTGAACAGCCTGAATCCCAGCCAACAAATTTTTCTGGAATTTAGAAATAGCTTATGTTTATTTTTTATGTTTTTATCACTAAATTGCTAGAAAAATAAAAAATGGAGAACTAGTTTTCAGGTTCTAAAAAGCGTTTGCTGGAAATATATATCAGATGTCCAAACAAGTAGAACTTGATTTATTAGTATGATTTTCCTGGAGTTCCATTTCTGGAACAATATCTTATTAACCCCTTGCAGTGAGACCATTGTCTAATATTATTCAAGAAGAGAGGAAATGCAATGAAAGCAAGACTAAGGCTAATGAAATTCTGTGAATATTTTTATAAAGAAAAATATAATCTGATTAAAATATACAAATTTTACTTGAGAATGAAGTAAAATTTTCACATATAAGAAAAGTTCTATTACACTTCTAGAGTTTAACATACTATGAAGCAATGATGTCTCTCTCTCTTTTTTTTTTTTTTTTTTAATAGAGAAGATTTCCTTGAGTCCCAAAGACCTTTGAAGCTCAGGCAAAACAGCAATTTGGTGTGAGGGGTGGGGAAAGGGTGCATTTTGAACTAATAATATAATATCCTATTAAAGCTTGGTTTCTTTTATTATGGAACTTAATTTAGAATCCAAAATATTAGTTCTGTGGTTCTGGAATCTAGCTTAAATGCTGCAATGTAAGGCAACTTCAATAGATTATCTATTAATGACCAAATTACTTTTTTATGTATGTATATATATATGTATATGTATGTGTGTGTGTGTGTGTGTGTGTGTGTGTATTTTTTTTTTTTTTTTAGGTGAGGCAACCCTTGGTTGACCTCACGGATTGCAAGGACCTTGTCAGTTTATAATCCTTTATTTTTTTATTTTTTACGCCTACAGCACCTGGTCTTCTTAGGTGGTCTCCCATCCAAGCACTAACCAGGCCCAACCCTGCTTAATTTCCAAGATCAGATGGGATTGGGCTTGTTCAGGGTAGCATGGCCATAGACTTTAATGTTTATATTTTATGGGATCACTTGGATAAAATTAAAGAAAGCTACATTGCCTAGTTGGAGAAAATGAGATCACAAATACACTCCAGTTTTTCTATAAACTTGTTTTGTGACTGCTGACAGGTCTATTAATTGCTCAGTTTGCCATTACTACAATGAAGCAACTTTGTGGTGATGAGGTCTTAAACTACCAATCTCATTGAAAGAGTGAATGGAAAAAGATAACACATGTGGCCGTGTTTTGGCATCTTTGAGAGAACAGAGCATAACTCAGTGTGGTCTTATTGGCAGTAATATTATCAATACCATTAATTAAAAAAGAAAACAGTTTCTAGGTGTACATGATTTTGTGAAGAAGCTATATCCTGTCATACATGAAGTAGTTATAAGACATTTAGTGGCATGTCCTTTGGTAAAGTGAATCATCACTATCTATCTTGTATTTCTTGTCTGTGTAAATTTGGTGTATGTGCAGGTGTGTGATTTTGCATTTAAGAGGTAGATAATGTACCTGTAATTTTAAGTTGTAATTTTAACACGAAAGAAATTTGAAAGACATTGCCAATTTTTAGACTTCTGGATTATAGTTCTTTCTGAATGTTAATATTATCAGCTTCTTAAAGATTTAAAAATCTTCTTAAAGATTTTTAAAAATGTGTTTGAATGTAGAAACTTGTATAAACTGATTTAGACATGAAGCATGGTCTAAGTGTT